GTAGCAATGTCTCACAGTTGTTGGAACTCTTTTGGAGTCGAACTAGAGTTGTCTAAGTCAACGTGAATCGTTTCAGAACTTTTCAACCAAGCACTTCTGACCACATACCAGTCCTTCTCGATGGACTTACTTTTCACTCAAGCATGACTGAAGAAGAATTCGAAATCTCCGCATCAGGAAGACAGCTTTATAGAGACCGACTTCAAATAAAATGCTGTCTGACAGTCGAACATTTCCATTCTAACCCTCTGAATACCGTGTGAATCAGACCAAACTGAAACCCGATGAAAAAATCAAGCTTATTTGCTGACGTCTGACAGGAAAGCTGGCGCGCGGCTGGCGGTAGCAAGGTCTATCAAGAATTCGTTAGATCAGACACTAAATTCAAGGCACAGCTGATGCAGCGGTCACTGTTTTTTTATACCGTAAAACTAACGACTTATGTCCAAACAGTGTTTTTCTGCCAGCTGAAGGTCTTGCTGTGTGTTTGCCGTCAACTCCCAGTTGAACAGTCCTCCTAGAATCCAGATTTGGCGATTCTGGTTCTTCAAGATCAAAGAGAGGAGGCGCATTAACACTAGTTTCGCTCTAAGCATACATCATCAAAATTGCTTGCGTCGGTCGCCAAGGGAACTGAACCCTAGGCAGTCGGTAGGCGAGTAGAACGCATTACCATTCATCCACCGGCCTATATCAGATGCATCTGGAATGTAAACCCAAGCTGTTGACGTTTGAGTGGTGCGATTTGTTTGTCCAACATCTCAAACATTCACCCAGCATCTATCTTGATGTTTGCCATCTCTCAGGTCATGCCAGTCAGGTAGACCCACAGAAGTTCAAACCTGATACACAAGTTTTTTATTCCTTGCGGGTGGGTGCAACTTTTGTAGAGTTGTCGGGTAATCCAGTACATGAACACGTTCGCCCAGTCCTTTGTGCCCAGACAGAGTAGTGTTAACAAGCTTGACCCATATCTCCGACGCCTATTGTCGAACATACATCAAGGATAAGAATATATATGCACAGTTGATCAGCCCTCATAAGAGCGAAACTCGAGCCCGGCACTTCCCTGCTTTGATGTTTGACCACAATCATTACCCCGGACAGAAAGAGGACTTTTCCAAGGAGGTCTGTGTGAATACGCATTTCTCGAATACCGCAACTATCTACAACTAACCTTAGCTCGCCCCTTATGCCGGTGAACAAGT